AAGTGTCTTGTTTTGTGCCAACCTAATTCTGTAATATTTTTAAAAATGTGGAAAAGGATGGATATTCAGATTGATAAGAGGTAACGATAACGTAGTCATTCCTGTCTTGCATATCACTGCGTTTTCTTCTGTGCAATATTGTAAAAATATCTGGGCTGTTAATAAGCATAACCAGTGTATTTAATAATCCTAACTTCCCATCTTTCTAATTAGGCTGCAGGTGATTTTGTTGACATAAGAGAAGAAATTGAAGATGATAGCATTGAAACAAAAGGTAAATGATTTAATAGTACGTGTATTTTGAAATACTAGTAAGCAAAATACTCCTTATGTAGGATTAATACTCCTTACGTGGAATTGACTAAATTATTTCATTGCACTATACTTTTTACTTTAAAATTTTATTTTATTCAAATTAAAAATTACGAATTTGAAGGTAAGAAGGATTTTGTCCCTTGGTTTCACTATGGGATGCTGCCATACCCCTTGGTAGCCATCAGCTAAACATATTTGGGAAATTTTTTTCTTTGGAGAGTCTACATTGGGAATTTGAAGTTTTCTAGAAGAAAAGAGGTAGAAAATAAAATAAGTTGGCTCCTGGAGAGAGAAATAGAGAAGAATTTTTTTTTTCATCAAAGATTTGAGTTTTACAACAGAAGAAATACTAGAGAAACTCAGGCTCTGGCTGTTGTGCTGGAAGTATGTGAGCAGTGTCAGCAGGGAGGGGAAGGAGCAGGGACCATGGATGAGGCACCAACGGGCAATGTAAACGTTGTCATCCCCTGGGGCGTTTCACTACTGCTGGTGAAACAAATGAAAAAACAATTTCAACTTGCTGGTCTTGCAAATGTGCTCCAGCAGATCCTTCCTGAAGATTTCTAGAGAGAACACTGGGAAATAAAGATAGTTGTGCTAAAGGAATTGGGTAGTTTCTGTGCTATCTGAAGTGGTGCTTGATGGGTAAAACTGGCAAAGTTGGACAAAGAATTAATTTTACAGTCTGAAAATAGCTTCACTTGGACAATTTGAGATAGAGTTTGTGATTTGCAGAGGGCTAATCAGGGCAGTTCACTGTTAGATTTTTCTGGAATAAATCACAATATTCTTTATATGCCAAGGCTGGTGAAGGGGGTGTCTCTGCTGTGGGTAGGTGCCGTTGCAAAATAGGAGTAACATTCTGGGAAGTGCATCCCATTGTAAGAGTGTTAATGCAGCAGGATGCTGTGGATGCCAGGTCAACCTTTGTGCAGCTTTTTATTGTATCCTAAACTTTCATCATCATTATTGTCCTCTGAAATCACCTTAATTTTTGCTGACAATCTGTAAGTGGGAATTAGGTATGTTTTCCATTGGTACGAATCTGCACTGAGATTGAGAGAGAAGTGCTAAAAGAACAACTTCAAGTCCAGCCTGCCTCAAAATAATCATTATCAGCCTAGGAATTGTTTTTTTTCACATGGACATGGGCTGAATCTCTGAGGAAGACAAAAACAAGTAACCCGAGCATCTCATTATTTTATTGCTGACTCCCCATTTTTCTGGATTTTAATATTTCACTTTTTTTTGGTTAAAGAATGAAGTTAGTGGTGGTGCTTTGTACTAACAGTAAGTGAGCACAGTGGATATTGGAGCAGCAGGTGGTTATCCTCTGTTGTCCTTGAGATCTGACCCAGTTTCCTAACTTACAGAAGTTTTCTTAGAATTAGGAGGAAAAATCAGTGGCAGGTTGAAGTGCTGACGGTCAGGAAGGCATGTGCTAACCTTGGAAGCCAAGTCAGTGGTTAATACTGAAGGGTAAGAGAAAGAAATTGGGAGGGCACGATCTGAAAATCAAATTGAAATAGATTGTTAACTAATGCTTCCAAATTTTATTTATTAATTTTGTAATTATACCAAAGGAAATTCTCACAAGCTACTCTGATTGCCTCACTTACCTCAATTTATATTCAAATCTCAATAAAATACGTTTCAGCCTTTTCCTAATGAGGTGATGAAAAATGCTATCCCGTGGAAAAGTAGGGGATGCACATTCCAACATTACTTAGTCACCTGTTTGCTTTTTAATGTTTCTATTGAATTTGTATTTAACTCGGGATTAAAGTATAAGCTGACGTATTTGAATAAGGATATCTTTAAGCCATGAGTTCTTCAGTTTTTTTTAAAAAATGGCCACACAGTTGGGTAATAGAAAGAGACTTTAAATCTTGAAGGATGCTGAATAATGAGGACATTGTGTTACTGTTGATGAGATGCACAAAGCAGACCTGTAGAGGTACAGAAGTCCCACTGTGGAGACACGATGTTGGGTGGGTTTGTGGTAGTGATGGAAGGGGAAGGTTCCTCACTCCCATAAAGAGGTGCAGGTTCCTCGGGGGGTGCTGGTGGGCAGAGAGGGGGGAACTTCCCTGGGGAACCTGCCTGGGATGGCACAGAAGCAGGTAGTGGTGCCGGGAGCTGCCCGTTTTGGGGGAGAAAGGGTTAAAGCAGTGGTTCTGCCCTTCGCACAGACAGGGCACAAGCATTAAGGTTGTTGGTGGGTGGTTTGCTCCCTACGTGCTAGACAGCACTCAAACAGCAACAAGTATTCCCCATCCTCAGTGGCTGCACCATTTCACTGGGTTGCAGAGCTTTTAATCGCCAGCAAGAACTTGTCAGTGACTACCATTTACTCACAAGTGTATATCTCAGGTCACCTCTGAAGCTTTAAAGGGGTTTATATTTATTATTTTTGAAAGGCAGGATTTTTATGCTTTTCAAAGTGTGTCTTTCTCACCAAAATAAGTGATTCATAATGACTGAATTTTGGTCAGATTTTCCAGGTGACTCTGGAGATAATTTTTAATGATCTTTCATTGTAAATTTAAAAAAATTACAACCCAAACCAAAAAGGCTTTGCTCTTTAAATATAGGTGACTTTGTCCAAAATGAGCTAGAGCACAAACTAGGTTTGCTTTCCCAGTTAATAAAATGTGCTATTAATGGGACGGTGAGCAAATGTCACATTCACATGTTGGTATCTATCAGAGCAAATCAAAGTCTACTGTTTGACACAGGAGGTAAAAAAAAAACCCCACATTGTAATAAAACTGTCATAGGATCAGTGTCTCCTGCTTTGTAAATAAACATCTCGGCTTTGCCTCGGTATTTCTGTAACATCCGGAGACTATTATCCTGTGCTGGTGCTCTGGTTCATTGACAGCTTCACTTAAACAGTTAAACAATAATTTGAAATGGAAAATGTTCTGTCCATATTCCTTAATTCCTTTGTGGGTCTTTCCCCCCCCCCCCATTTTTTTTTTTTTTTGTGGATTAATTGCTTTAGTAAGTGCATTTTATTTTTTGTTACACAGGCAAATACCGAACTGCTCACAAGCCTCATTCAAAGCCCAAAGTATCAAATGTTTTTGAGGTAGATTTTCCAGCAAATGGAAGCGATACAAAATCGATGGGCCGTTTTCAGTCAGAGGAGGAGCTGTGGGCCCGCTTGGAAGAGCTCGAGAGACAAGAAGAGATACTTGGTGAACTTGACAGGTACAGTGCTGCTGTAGCACCTTCAGGTTTGGAGCTCAGAAAGCTGTAGGTGTGGGATTCCACGTGTGCACAGAGGATCTGGCTGTAAGTGCAAATAGATGGATGCAGTTAAAATTGTAATAGGTGGAAAAAGGATGGGAGATGAATGAAGTGTGCACTGCAAGGCCAAAGGTGCTAAAATCTGCTTCTGTGCAACCACAGCAGCCCAGCATGATAGTGTGTGTTTTCTTTGAGGTGATAGAAAAGGGGGAAGGAAAATCCATTTCCCACAGGCTAGGAGAATCCATCGTTTACAATGTAGGAGTTACACATTTAGTGTTTAATGACATCCTTAGATCTTTCCTGATCCTACAGCAATACATGTGTCATTAGCCAGAATGTCACAGTTTTGGTAATTCCAGTTGACATGAAAAGGACGTAGTGACTCTGATAATAAGAGTATAAAAAAAGTTCCACAGTCTGGCTAAAGGTATAGTACCTGGGTAAAGAAAACAACATGCAGGCTTGTTCATTGTGCCTGTGTCTCTCAAGAGTACAGATCGCCTCAGTTCACTTAGATATTTTTCATTTCACAGGATGCCTGATACAGTTGAGACAAATGGAGAAGATACAACCTCTTCTGAAGAGGAGAAGGAAGATAAGAGGACAGATCTGAACGGGACGTATAGAGCAGAAGACTGTATTACTCAGGGCAACTTCCATAAAGAAGTAACAAATTCAGACTTGTTTGGTGGCCAAGTTAATGGCTCTACTTATTATCACAGTGATGATGAAGATGACATAGATGTTGGAGATAGCTCTGTTCCAACTATTTTTTTCTCTCACACTGTTGAACCTAAAAGGGTTTGTACTTCATGAAATTTTCTCTTTCAACTAATCATAGATATATACTATATCTAAGATAGAAAATTTTAGATAATGTAGAATACTAACTAACTGTAGGTGACATTTATTCGGAATTTTTTCGAATGCTTGAAACCCACTGTTTAAATCCTGTGGCTTCAAATATGGTATTTAAAAAGTGATCTTGAAATGTATACCTTGCTGTTCTGTCTTTCGGCTGTTGTAAAAGGTACTATCCTGTCTAGTTGTTAAAATGTCTTTTTACTTGGCTTGAAATGGAGTGTTGAAGAGCTCGGCTGTTGAGCAGAGTTTGAATAAGCACATAAGTGAAAAGAAATGCCCCAGCCTAGTGCAAGTGGTAGAGGATAAACCATTCACACTATGATTGGTACCGCTTGTACATTCATAGTCCCCAACTGCTGGGATAGCAGAATGTCAGAAATCAGTTGATCTGCAGCCGGATGATTGTTGATTTTATGCTCTAGACCACCATTTGTGTTCAATTTTCAGGTAAGAATAAACACAGGAAAAAATACTACTTTGAAATTCAGTGAAAAGAAAGAAGAGGCCAAGCGTAAGAGGAAGAACAGCAATGGCAATGGCCACGCAACTCCAGAGCTGCCCAACATCAAAACCCCAGCAGACATTTACCGGTGAGTAATTTACAGCGTCGGCGTGTGAGCTTTCCCCTCAGCAGACCTTCTCTTTTCGTTCCTGCTCACCTCTGGTATGAAACCCAGCCTACTGTTTCCTGAAAGAAACAGCTGGAACTGAATTTACTACTTCAAAATGAAAGTTTGTGGCTTCTGCATGGTTGTCGTGCTTTCGTATCCATAAAACATCTCTGAGCTTAAAATTTCCTTTTCAACTAGCAATTCATCATTTATCTACTTTTTCAGAGCTCCTGCAATTGAGGTAAATTTGCCAGTGTATATCATCTGCAAAAGGGAATACAGCAGTTTGTTACAGATTCTGGTTAATGCCCTGTCATTTGCTTCTGTGTTTGTTTTCAAATGTAACTGACCAGATCTGTTACTCCTTTCTCAGTTACTAATTGCTGGGTTTCATCTCCTCCCTCCAGTATTTTCAGAATATACCCATTTGCATGGTTTCTCTTGCATTTTTCTCTCCCTGACTTTGGTCCATTGCTGTCTCTATTTGCTGTAAAAAGAAGTGCTCACCTGTAGAACACCCCCTCTCGGAGAGCTTGAAAAACAATGTTGGGCTTAGAGGACTGTATAAAATACAAAACTAAGGTGACTAAGGAGAGTTAAACCAAGTATTTAGGTTTGTAAAGATAAACATAGACACCTATTAGATTGGTTGATTAAGTGCTTGTGAAAATCACACTGCATTTGTATGTTGGTGTATTCAGGCACCTAAACATCTTAAAAATGTGTCACAAAGTGTGAAAAGCTAAAACCTATCCTGTGATTACAGATGCTGGGGCTGAAGGTGAGATTAAGAATTCTTTCGTGGTGCTCTCCCTGAGCTCTGCAAAGGAACTCCATCTTCTGTAGAGATACAAAAGTGTTCCCTTGAGTGCCTGATGAATAAAACTGTTAAGAAACAAGTAACACCTTTAAAACTTACCCAGTCGTTGGGCTCCTCCTTCATGAGTTGGTTAAAATCGGCGCTGTCCTCTAATGCCATTCCTTTTCCTCCATGCACCCTTAACTTCTTTAAGTCATGGAGATGGAGCACAAATTGTAGGAAGAGGCTTTATCAGTTTATAGTCTGTTAATACTTGAAATGTGTCTTTGTGTTCATCTGATCTAAAATGCTGATCTTTTAATTATTATTTTTTTTTAACTGAAAGCAGAAGATTATGGTACCTGTCAGGAAAAAGCTTCATCCTTTCCATGAGCAATGAATGTTTCAAATATTTCTTTTTATATTCTACATTTGACAAGGACTTCATTCTGGAAAACCTCCCGCCATTGTGACCTTCTGTTTTCTGACAGAAACAACCCTGACAATCATTTAATTTACCTTTTTTCTAACTTTTTGTAACTCACACTAGTTTTTTTTCTAACGCTTTTCAGAGCACTATGCATTTTCTGCTGGAAGGGTGTACCAACTTAATGCTTGAATAAAGAGCATATCAGTGTTTGCCTTGCACAATTGATTCTTGTACGTTGGTAAATAAAATGCCTCTAAAGGTACAGTATTGTAATTCTGCAGCGAAAAAGTTGGAAAAGCACATCATAATTAATTTGTACAAAAGACAAAACAAGATCACTGTAAATTTGTCATCTGATCCTGAAATGGTTTATTAAAGCTAACATTTTCCTTTATAGAGTCTTTGTTGATGTTGTGAATGGAGAATATGTCCCTCGTAAATCAATTTTGAAGTCTCGAAGCAGAGAGAACAGTGTTTGTAGCGATACCAGTGAGAACAGTGCTGCTGAGTTTGATGACAGACGAGGAGTTCAGAGGAGTGTTAGCTGTGATGAAGCTACTCAGAGTGACAACAGCGAAGGCATACTGGAGGAAGAGGAGGAGGAGGGGCAGCAGCAGCTACCGAAAAAGCCTCCTCCCTCTTCAGGGACAACCGAGGTACAGTTTTTAATTAATTATTGATTGTTGGCAGGGATAAAAATGAGAAATCTAATGACTCTAGTTGCCTATACCATCAGTTTGATTTCTTTAAAATAATTTTCTAACTCCTACCTAGTTTGCCTTCAGAGGGACATTATCAGGTGACCAGCTTCTGTCATACACATCCTAGGGGCAGAGCGGAGGAGACAAGTCAGGTGGCTTCCCTGAGACCTGAAGCTCTTCTGTAAAGATCTGACAAAAAAAAAAAAGCAAAATTAAAAAATCTGTGCTTCATAGTTAACGAGAGGGAGGAGTGAATTCTTTGTAACCTGTGATTAATCAATATCCTGGTGCAGAGCTACCAGACAGCTAGTTTCCAGGTGGTGTTTTTAAGTATTAAAACACACAAATATCTGAGTGATTATTTGGACTTGCCAAAGGCAGAGGAATTGCCACGTGGAAGGAAGCATTATTCCTCTACTCATCCTATTCCAGACTAGGGCCATTAGTGATCCCAAACAAGTCTGCTTTCACATGTTTGGAAAGTTCAGGGCTTCATCATAAAGGAAAGAGCCTGTAGGATGAAGGGGGAAATGTACAGTTGCTTAGTGACTGAGTGAGGATGAGAATTAAATGTAGCTGCTGCTGGGAAATTCATGGCATAGAGTATTCTTCATTTTTATTTTGTAAGAACTTACACTAATTTTTTTCAAACTAGATGAAACTTGAGTTTTCGGGAGTTCCCAATGCAATGGGCAAGTTCAATGAAAACACTATTTTTAGAAAAATTATTTTTGACAAGAAACTAATTCCTCGTAAAAGCTATTGTTTATCGTCATTTTTCATACAAACAGCTCCAGACAAATCCGGGCGGAATGTGACGGTTCATGGTGCAAGATCCATCTGTAGAGTTATCACTTCATGTTGGATACTTTCGGGAATGTATTTGCTGTATTTGTATAAAACATCCAAGTACACTCTCGATGTTACCCATTAGTCCATTTTCTGAATATGGCGTGATTATTCTCTACAGTAGAACATATTTTTGAAGTAACCGAAGGAGAGCGATCAAAACACTCCAGTCCAAGACATGCTGCCTTAAATGCTGCTGGTTTCCTTTTGGTTGTTTTTGTGGGTGTTTGAAATGCATTATTTTTCCATGACCATTTGCAACACACTTAATTTTTATTCTTTTTTTTTTTGCTTCTAATTTTACCATGATCATCCTAGGTTGTGTTTTGCTTACCTGTTTTTGAAAACGAGTGTGTTGTTAGAAGAACGTAGTTGTGTACAGGCAAGGCTTTAGGCATGCTTTGGCTATTGGAGCAGAAAACAAAAAGGCACTGCTTTTTTGCAGCTCCTGCAAGAAAAGAATGGCCGGTTTGTTTGGCTTTGTTTTTCTTGGTAACTGAGTTATGGAAAAGCAGAACTAAGCAGAGTTAATAAATCTGGTGTGCATTCCTTTGGGCCCAGTATGAGCATCAAACCTCAGATGTGAACTGCTTCCCCTTGTCCGTAGGCATTCAGAATTGGGTTTTCAATGCATAGTAGGGTGATTTGTTCTTAAATATGTTTATGAGAAGTAGGTCTGAGTTGCTTTTTTTTTCCCCACTGTTTTCCAAGAATCACGGCCATTTCTCAGCTGAGTTAAAAAGGATTAAATCTCATAATCGGCTGCATATAAATTATAACTTTTAACATTAAATGCTTTTATTAGACCTTCTGTGGAGAGAAATAGTTGGAAGCAAGTTTGCCGTTCTCTTAAGTATAAATTGCTTTCGCCATTTTTTGATCATATTTGGTAAGGAGAAAAGAACAAACAAAATATGTGCTTGCCAATTTGTATGCAGTGTGTCAGCTTGATGCAATTACAATATATTAAGTCATAAAATATGACGTATGATGGAAATGCTGACATAATCCCAACTTTGCAAAATCTCTCCATTTCTTATCCAAAATGAAACTATATATTACATCAGCTGGTTTATTTCTTGAGCGTGTGTCAGCGAGGAAGCAAATTTTTAGATCATTTATGCAGTAGGAATGAGATTAAGTAGTACTTTTAAGACACTGTCTTTCATTCAGTCATCTTTGAACAAGCTATATTTTGAGGTTAATTACAATTTGGTTACTTATGCGAGGAACAATCATTGATTTAAAGATATTTCTTTACTTTTGATTAAAAGAAATAACAATCCTAATCAGGCTAATATAGGGTAATGACCTTATGGGCATAGCTTCACATTTGCATTTTATTAGCTCATTTTGAGTATTCTCTTCTGTTCTAGGCGTTTTCCGGAACTGTTATAGAAAAGGAGCCTTTGTCTCCCTCCTTAATACCACACCCAGTCATCGCTCACCCCGTCCTGCCCACCATTCTGGAGCGCAAATCGGAGGAAGTTTCGTCCGAAGCATCAGAAGAAACGACAAAGAGGATTTCAAAATTCAAAGCCTCCAGGATGCAGCAGAGTAACTAGGTGCTGCCCGGCTTCACGGCTGTCCAGGCTGTGTAAAACTCCTAATTAAAAGGGTGTCCTGTGTTAATTTGGCGTTGGTTCTCTTTTAAACGTTTATTGGCAACATTACAAAAAAAAAAAAAAGAAAAAAAAAAAAAAGAAGTGGGGTGTTTGAACACTTGAGAATTCATCTTATTTTGTCGATTTCCCTGCGTGCTGTCAGCACCTTTGTCTATGTTTGCCTTATGATAGCAGCACTTGGGTTCTTTTTCAAAAACTGTTCCTTACATACATTGTTTTTGTGTTTAAACCTAAATACAGGCAGTTTTGTGCCAGCTGTGATGTTCTACATACCATATGGACCATTTTAAGGAAACTTTTCACATTTCAAATAGATACACCAATTATATTGCATTACTTGCTTTAGCATTTTAAGACACACTTGTATTCACATTGTTGTAGGTTTTGCAACTAGGTGTCTGCTGAAAGTTTTTTTCCTTCTTTCAAACCTCTCTGATATCTCACTGTACAGATCTATAAAACGCTGGGTTCATGTACATTGCAGGGAAGTTTCTTTGATGGAAAAGGGTATTTTGTAAAATTAAATTTTCAGTAAAAAAGCTGTGAAAGCCGTGTGTTTTTTTGTTGCTTTACTACTAATTTGGAAACGACGCGGAGAGGTTTTTATTTTGAACTTGCTTTTCTAGCTTGAAGTTTTTACTACCACATGGACATAAAAGCAGTCCATTCTCTTCTGCCATTGTGTTTTAACCTCCTGCTAATGAATGTCCATGGAAATTGAATGCTCTTAAGGAGAGAAGCATAAACTCAGACTCTGATTACAAAATCTCCCAGTTCTTTTGTATACTCAGAAAACATTGTAATTGTCTTGGGAATGCCCAGAGGGAGTCGGCACTGAGGAAAAATGTCTTAATGCTTCAACTTTATTTCAAAATGCAGCAGCGCTGCAGCAATCGGGGTTCGGTTCTGCGTGTCCTTCTCCTGACTGGGGGCCATCCTGGCTTCAGGAGTCCCTGCCCAGCAGCTCCTGCCCGTCTTCTTGCCCGTCCCCTCCCTTGTGCTGACACGGCTTTTGTTGGGCCACCCCTTGAATGATAATAGGCGGCCGAGCTGGGTTTAAAAAACAAAACTACTGGGTTTGGGTTTAGGGCTTTTTTTTTTGACAGTTTTGCATGTTTATTTTTTGAAGCCGTTGAGTTCCCTCATCTGTTTCTCAGCATGTCCGTATCAGCCCAGCGAGAGGGGCGACGTGTTGAGCGAGGACAAGGAGAAGGTTGGCAGAGGGGAGCTGGAGAACCTTTTAAACTGGTGTTACTCTCCGGCTGAAATGGTTGAACCACAGCCTGAGAAGCCAGGGAAAAGGACCTGTAAGGTCCTAGGTGTAAGGAAGGGTTTGCTTTTGGCCACGGTTGGGTGGCTTTGCAGCCTGAGGGCCACCAGCAGCTGGTTACCCACATCTTGGCCGTCCATGAGCGGGACGTCAGCTATCTCCGTGTCCTCACCTTCCCCTAAAACACCCACGCCTTGTGCTGGTATCCTTTGCTCTCAGGTCACAGCAGATGAGCTCACGGTGCAGCCTCCTGCCTTAAAACAGCCACCAGCTCCCCCTTTTCCAACACTTTTTCCCCTCTGTGCTAAAAAGGCGAGGGGAGGCACTGCGACTTCTTCTTCTAAGGTGACTTTTAAAAACGGCCGGGCTCCATCTGACTCCGATGTCCCCTGCTCGGTGTTTGGGGCGGTGATGTAGTTTCATGGGCAGAAAACTGGATGACTTTTGAGGGGGGAGGGGGGGCAGTAGCCGGGGTCCCCCCTTGGGGGAGATAGCTCCCCAAAGCTGCGGGGCTGCGTTTTCCCCGCGATACAGAGCAAATTGTGCTTTTTTGCTGAAAGAAAATCTGAAGGGAAAGTTGTGCAGCCCTCCCATGCCCGAAGCTCGCCCGCTGGGAGGGGGAGATCTCCTTTTTAAGTGGATCCTGAGAACCACGTTGAAAGTGTTAATGATTAACTTGATTCATGCTCAAATGCGGGCTTTTTTTCTTTTTTTTTTTTTTTTTTTTTAAAGCATATTGCATTAGTACTAAAATAAGCCATCAATGCCAGTCCACCCTCTATTCACAGCTAAATATTTAAAGGAGGTTATTTATAGCTTCTTTAATGAATTCTTGGCTAAACAAAATGAAATTATGTCCTAGAAAAGTAGAAGCTATTTTGTAACCAGAACAGTGCAACTGTAAAATATAGTTCCATGAATATGTATTTTAAATAACAAGGGGTTGAGATCCAAGACTACCAGACATGGGTAATTAGAGGGAAAAGGAGAGAAAGAAAGAAAGAGAGAGAGAGAGAAAAACCCCTTTAAAAAGATTTATTTAGATATCTTCTGAAACACTTCCCACTTCTAGTTACTTCAACAAAACCAAATGCCCCTTGTCACCATAGATCAGTTTCAAATCAAAATTAATTCTTTGCTTGTTTTCTTTTTTTTCCCCTCCCCTTTTCTCCCCTCCCCGCTCACGGGAAAAAGTAGGATAAATGCACCTTGGGTTTTAATGAATTACGGCCTGGGTTCAGGGAAGCATCCTTACTCAGGAATGCACTTTGGCATGTGCTTATGTCTCAAAGATTTTGCAAAGAAGAATGGATTTAACCACATGCTTAAAACTAAGCACATGAGCGTTTTCCCTAATAGGGAGCCTGGATGCGTCTGTGCCCTTTTTGCAGTATATTTAATTGTCAGAGGGTTTGGAGGCTGGAATGAGCCTTCATCTTTGGTCTCTGCTGGGGCTGTACCAGTGGATTCCCGGCGCGGTGCCTGCAGCAGGGAGGGATGGCTGGAGGATTCCTGAGAAGGTTCACAAACGCTAAACAAAAAAAATAAATCTACCAAAGCTGATATAAAAAAACCTAAAAAAATGATCATGTGAAGGCCCGTCTCAAGGAGGACTTAAAATTTGCTTTTTTTTTTTTGCAATGCTGAAGCCAACAAGTGGCTGCAGGTGGCCACCAGTGCACAGGTGAAGCAAACACGAGGATGGAGTGGTGGTGCCCCAAATTGTGGGGTTGCTGGTAGTGGATTAGTTGTCGGTATGAGTGTCTCTTTGCCCCCAGTGCTGCATTTAGTGATTTTATTCCCTTTAATAATAATAAGGGCACAGTCTAATTGATTTCTGAAACACCTTTGATGGCTTTTCCAGGGAGCACTGGTGAGGGCTTTGGGCAAGGATGGATGAAGGGCCTTTTGGTTCTTCCTGGTGTTTCCCGAGAGGTTTTGTGTGTCCTCAGCAGGAAGGATATGGCCTGGCTGGAGCTGGGGTGGCTTTGGCAGCTGGTCACTGGGGTGTCACAGGAACGTGGATGCTGGAAGAAGCTCTGTCCCCAGCCTTCTCTTGGTGTCCCCAACCCACAAGAGCACAAGGGAGCAGCAGTGCCAGCTGGGTGCAACCAGGCACAGCTCCACAGGCAGGTGGAAATGTGGCAGGAGAGAACAGGGAAGGACATCACTGCACAAGGAGTCTTTGGTCCACCATGAGAGTGGTGGCAGCAGCCTGGCTGGGCACTGCATGGCCACAGGGAGTAGTCAATGTGCCCCAGCTGTCCTGTGCCCCACAGCTGCCCCACACAGCCCTTTGCAGGGCCATGATTGCATCAATTAGGCACCTCAAATTACCTGCTCCACTTGCACTACCTCATTGGCAGGCAAGTTTGACTCTTTAATCTTCTTTAATTGGCCACAAGTAAGCTGGGCACCTGCCTATGCCCAGAGAAGCATAGGAACCCCTGCCAGGAGAAGAAGAAGGAGAAGGAGAAGGAGGTGGATGTTGTGAGATGAGCCCAGCCAGGTCCATGCCCCAGCTGCAGGCCTGGCAGGGGTTGGTGGAGCCCGTGACCTGCGTTTGGAGGTAAACTGGGTTTATTTCCTTCTCTCTCCTGTAAGACTAGTTGCACTTAGCGCTTTTCATTGCTCACTTAGAGCATCTAAAGCAGCAGATTTTTTTTTTTTTCTGTGTGTGTGTTTCGAGAGTGTCTAAACCAGCTGTTTTAGCCGTTCGTTTTAACGAAGTGATTTATGTTGCAAAAAAATGAGCCGGGATTAAAAGAAATCAGATGTGTGCGTTTGGTATGCAATATTTTTTGTGTGTTACAAATAGCTCCGTCCTAACCCGCATTAACCCCACGATACGTGAATTTTGCCAACTCCCGCTGCGTCTTTTAAATCAAATCCAGGGAAATCGCTGCGAAAGCCTCCCCCAACCCACCCGCCCCCCCCAAACGCTGCACCGCCAATTAGGGACACCCCAATTAGGGTGGGAGGGGGGGGCTCTAAGGGCCGAGGGGTGCCCGGTGGCGGTGTGTATGTGTGTGTTTGTATGTAGGGGGGTGTCCGTGTCCCCCATTGCCCCTCCGGCCCCTTGCCCCCCGGGGCCTTGCGTCACGCCTGACGCCACGGTGGCGTTGCCGGCGCTGGCCGGTAGGTGGCAGCGCTGAGCGCGCAGCCCCGGCGGAGAGCTGCCAGTCAGTGATTATAATTTATTATTCATTTCTGTTATAGGTGGGGTGTGCAGACAGTTACAGTAATAATTACCAAGACTCGAGCGTTTCCTAGGCAACGGGTGGGTTTTTTTCTTTCCCCCCCCCTCCCCTTCATTCATGCTGTTGCGGGGAGTGTGCCTGTAAAGCATGACATTGCTGTATTCGGAGGTTTGTTGCCCTCCTGCTGCTCCAGGTTTGAGGTTAGTTACAGCATCATAAGGTGCTCTCAAGCATAAAAAGCTCAGGCTGGGATTAAAGCACGCAGGGAACACTCTTCGCTAAGTCTTCCCTTCTCCTGGTTCACTTTTAAGTAACAAGGTTATAAAAATGCAAATGCCGTCTCGGGGTTGTTAATAACTAATATTGGGAAGAATTCCTGCAAGTTGTAAAACATTTTTTTTTTTTTTTTTTTGGTAAACAAAACCAAAGCCAGGTGAGGTGGCTCCGTGTGTTTTACGACAGTCTCATGAAAATAATATTTGAAAGGGGAAAAAAAAAAAAAAAAGAGAAAAAGGCTTGATCCAGCCTTGCCGTGTGGAGCGTCATAAATCAATGGGAACCGCTCCATGCAGCTAATGATAAGGTGGTATTTGTTGTTTACCCCGCTTTATGGTAATGGCTCGCGAGGAGGAGGGTGCCGTGTCCTTCCTGAAGGAGCAGGAGTAATCCTTGATGTGGTAACGGAGTAACAGAAACCACATCTATTATCAGAGATCTATAAATGAATCATATTATCCTACATTTTTAGGCTTACTAGAGCGCTCATTTTCAGAAACTCGCATCAAGCATTTGTGCGAGGATGAAAAGTAGTATTTTTCCATCCCTGCCGCACCAGGCGGAGGGAATTCACGATGCAATCTCGCGCTGAGATGGGGAGTTTTTACCCGTTAAAATTTTGAAGTAAGATGCTAAAGCGTGATTGCATCCAGGGAGATGGTGACCTGCCAGCCAGGTGCTCCTCTCGTAGGGACGGGCTGTGGATTAATGGGGTGACCCAGCCTGAGGAGCGCTCCGGGATCCCGGCTTGTCGGTACAGTTTGATCCCTCGGAAAGGTTAATGGTGGTACTAAAAGAAAAA